TTTTATCAGCTGCAAGAAACAGGACTGCTTTATTTTCAATGTTCAATATTTGCGGAAATTTTGCTGCTGCCTTTTGTGATTTTTCTAATGTCAACTACACAAAGATTATTGACAATAGAGATTATTCTTCCACAGACTTCCCCCATCTGGCCCTTGGCATTCTTTTTTAACCTGTTATGAAGGTCAAGGTCATGAAATTATATATACTTTTGAAGAAGTTGAAGGACACCGATTCTTTCATATTGCTACAGTTAATCTGTCATGGCATAATTTATTGACAATAGTTATGTGAAAGAATCAAGTATTTCTTAACTTTTGTTGAGAAGCATATGCCTTCATTGAATACATAATGGAATTGATGACAATGAAAATTACCTATTGGATTCATGATATGTTGTTGTATGTTACTAACATCCACTCACGTATTCCCAGGGAAACCACTGGCAAGGTTATTCCTATTTATTGCAGTCTGGTTACCAAGGAAACCAAGAAAGCATCATCCAGTATTCTTCAGTTAACTTCTTATAATGAACCAGTATATGATCACAATATACAACATCACACAGTGTCAAATCGTTGAATTCATATTCCCCATAACCATAGAGAAATTTAGTTGCTATGGTAACAGAGTACTCTGAATCCTATAAAACCATGATTTGTAACAGTTCACGTAACCTACATATACATGACTCCATACTTAAAGATCATTTATCCCAGAAACCAAAATGGCATGAAGGAATTGTCGGTTGATGGTGATCTTTAATGTAGCATCTGTATGATATCTCTGCATACATATGCCTTCTTACCAGTGTTTGTCTTTGAGGGACTGTGACATGAATAATTGAAGACCAACAGGTCCGAAGTCACTAGGGTGAAACAGCTCCATATACATGTGCCTTGAGGATACGACAGTGTGCTGTATCATCACAGCCACAGAGCTTTGCACTGGACCACAGGCTCAGCCACAGCCACAGCCACAGCATCAGCATCAGCATCAGCATCAGCCACAGCCACAGCCAGAGGCAATGAACTATAATAATAGTTGGCAAAAACACTCGAGGTCAATACACATGATTTCCTTCACTTACATCAATATATTATGACCTCTGATTGTTCCCTTGAGTTTTTCATGATATATTCTCTTTGATGAGATGCGATACTGAGCAATATCTGACTCTTGGGATGAAATGTGTCCAGATTCACAAACCATGTGTCAAATAAGAGCGACAAAATCGGCATTCTACATCCGTAAGAAATCTCTGATGACAGCAGAGCCAACTATATTGTGAGCTGGTGTTTGTTTGCTAACACCCCACTCAGTAATATTACAGCTATGTGATGGCGGTCTCTAAATAATTGAGTCTGGACCAGAAAATCCAGTGATCAATAGCATGGGCATCGTTCTACGCAGCTGGGATATGTTGACCACCCGAACCCACAGAAATACCATACGTGATATGATCTAATCATAAATACATGGATAGGTTGGTTTGTTGTTGAACGCCACACTCAGAAATATTCCAGCTGTATGGCGGTGGTCTGTTAATAATCGAGCCTGGACCAGACAATAGCATGAGCATCAATCTACACAATTGGGAACCGATAACTTGTGTCAACCAAGTCAGCGAGCCTGACCACCCAATGCCATTAGTCCCTTCTTATAGAAGCTGACTGAAGTGTTATCATTACTCAAGCATATAAACAACAGAATGGGTGCACAGTCAGAAACAAATATGAACCTTAGTGACGTAACCCAGGATTTTTGTTGATGTTATTAAACAATATATGATATGACTAACCATGGCTGTGGCTTGCCCTGTGGGTGTCCAGGACCCAACTGACCCAAGTACCTGGGTTATCCATTCCAGCCCTGTATGATACCTGTTTCCTGATGATCACTCAGCATCGCTGTCACTCTGTATCACAAATTTCATTCTTCATCATCAGTGTTCATTCTTCTTCATCAGCTTTCACTTTTTTAATATCAGAGGTGGGAGTGGCAGACTTTCACAAGGTTTGTGAACATCATTACCATGCCTGTGGGTTTCACGAGAGTGGTACACATTTAATACCTGCAGCATCGTCGTCGTAGTCATCGTCGTCATCGTCATCATTATCATCATCGTCGTCTTCATCATCTTCGTCGTCGTCGTTGTAATTATCATCATCATCATCATTGTCATCATCATCATCATTGTCTTCATCATCTTCGTCATCGTAATCATTGTCATCATCATCATCATTGTCTTCATCATCATCAACAGCAGCAGCAGCATTACAACCAACACCATCATCATTGTCACCATTATCACCGTCAACATGAAGAAACACTCCCAATCACCATTAGCAGCATTATCTTCATCACGACTTCCTAATCAACGTAATAAGTGCTCTGGGCAGTGAACAAAGTCGGGGGGGGAAATTGGGTCCTAATGTGGATGCCCATAAGATAATGGTACTAATTAGGCAACCATTTTAATACACACCTGATGAATGCACAGTTTCTTTCTATTATCAAAGTGAACAAATGTTTTGTAACAGTAAGTCTTGCAAAGACTGTGGATGTTGCTGTTGGTAGTGGTAGTGACATAGGACAGGCTGGTTGTGGTGGTGATGGTTAGTCATGGTGAGGTGAGATGGATGTTGGGGGTAGTGGTTGTGAGGTGGGAAAGGTGGTTGGGGTAGTGGTTGTGGGGTGGGATGGATGGTTGGGGTAGTGGTTGTGAGGTGGGATGGATGGTGGGGGTAGTGGTTGTGGGGTTGGATGGATGGTGGGGGTAGTGCTGGTGATGGTTAGTTGTGGTGAGGTGGGATGGATGGTGGGGGTAGTGGTTGTGAGGTGGGATGGATGGTTGGGGTAGTGGTTGTGAGGTGGGATGGATGATGGGGGTAGTGTTGGTGATGGTTAGGGTAGTGGTGGTGGGGGTAGTGGTTGTGAGGTGGGATGGATGGTGGGGGTAGTGGTTGTGAGGTTGGATGGATGGTGGGGCTAGTGGTTGTGGGGTGGGATGGATGGTGGGGGTAGTGCTGGTGATGGTTAGGGTAGTGGTGGTTGGGGTAGTGGTTGGGATGGATGGTGGGGGTAGTGCTGGTGATGGTTAGGGTAGTGGTGGTTGGGGTAGTGGTTGTGAGGTGGGATGGATGGTTGGGGTAGTGTTGGTTGGGGTAGTGCTGGTGATGGTTAGGGTAGTGGTGGTTGGGGTAGTGGTTGTGAGGTGGGATGGATGGTTGGGGTAGTGGTTGTGAGGTGGGATGGATGATGGGGGTAGTGTTGGTGATGGTTAGGGTAGTGGTGGTGGGGGTAGTGGTTGTGAGGTGGGATGGATGGTGGGGGTAGTGGTTGTGGGGTGGGATGGATGATGGGGGTAGTGTTGGTGATGGTTAGGGTAGTGGTGGTGGGGGTAGTGTAGTGGTTGTGAGGTGGGATGGATGGTGGGGGTAGTGGTTGTGAGGTTGGATGGATGGTGGGGCTAGTGGTTGTGGGTGGGATGGATGGTTGGGGTAGTGTTGGTGATGGTTAGGGTAGTGGTGGTTGGGGTAGTGGATGTGAGGTGGGATGGATGGTGGGGGTAGTGGTTGTGAGGTGGGATGGATGGTGGGGGTAGTGCTGGTGATGGTTAGGGTAGTGGTGGTTGGGGTAGTGGTTGTGGGATGGATGGTGGGGGTAGTGGTTGTGGGGTGGGATATTTGGTGGGGGTAGTGGTTGTGAGGTGGGATGGATGGTGGGGGTAATGGTTGTGAGGTGGGATGGATGGTGAGTGTTGGTGGAGGAGCTATATAATATTGGGTATAGCGGGGTCTACTGAAGCCTTGTTCCAAGGCTGTACTGAATGCTAAGCCCATGGATGTATAGTAATTCTATCCTTTAAAGATGCGAGTCTAGATATGTGGACAGTAGACCCCAGTCTGTTATTTATTATTTTTTAGAAATTATCATTTAAACTATTAAATTTTACCAGAGAGACTTGTGCTAGTCTAGGTCCACTGAGGCAGTGGTGACCTGTTGGAAAGCAGGTCAATAAAAATAATTCCATCAGTACGTGACATAAGCATTAATTTGATATTTTTCTATCCAGGAAAGGATGGAACGGTTTCAGTTAGGAGTCCTGCTTGTTCTTGGATTACTTCACTACTTCTCCCAGACTAAGGCTTAGTCTCGGAATATGTATAATTTTGGTAGTAACAAATAATCCGTTTGAATTGAAAAGGAGACCCAGGGAGATGGGAGAACATGAGGAAATCTAGACTTGCTTCATTTAGGGCTTTAGCATTGCAGGGAGGGTTAGTAGGTTGGGAAATAATGTGGTTCAGGGACTGTGAGACAGGCTATACTTTGTCATATGTCCAACGTATAATAAATAAAGAAATCAATTATATTACCACATAAATAGGTTTGATTTATACTTGGTTCTCTTTGGCAATGCTAATCCGCCGAGTTGTTGCTGGAACATTGCTAAAAGAGGCGTAAAACTAAACTCACTCTCTCTCACTTCGTAACATTAATTACACCTTTGGTGTTATTTCAAATAACTTGAAATCTGTCGACTTATTTATTTCGCACCATTACAACTCGACTGATGAAATGGATTTTCAGTAATGATGAACAGGAAATCTGCCTGTTTAATATTCAGTGGTACCCATACAGATTTCCCATTATGATTCGATATATTTAATTAAATCCGCTTCCAAATACTTTTAATGGAAAGGTGTAATTCACACAAGCCTGCCCGGCTTGTTTACTGATCCATATTCTTTTTGAATAAAATATGTTTAAACCCGAAAGGAGTAATAAATTTGTTGATTAATGTAATTAAATCGGTTGATGAAAGCAGTCGCTGGACCCTCTGTCTGATTAGAGAGAGTCAATCTCTGAGAGCTTCCAGCAACATCAGTTACATCTGTTGACATACCCAGACGTAGATAAGTCTCAACTCAGCCTCATATATCATATTGGACAGTTTATACTGTGTAATCGAAATCGGATCTGTTTCTCCTTCCAGACATTCCCATTTGATATAGAAGTCGGATCAGGGAGAAACTCATCGCTGAGATAGATAACTTGGAATCAATCATCATCTGCGACAACTTTGATGGTAAGGCATAAATATTGTACAGTCCGGGTGTGACATTTATGAAAACCCTTTTGGCTATGTCAAAGCTAAAGCTGACGGAAATTCGAAACGGGTGATCAAAATGATTTGATCATGAATGATATGTCTTGTTTTCGTCATGTTCTTGAAGGTAGCTACATCATTTGGATTGGATTTATGAGATATTAATGTTTAAATATTGTTTTTTATGCATTGATTTTTGTTCTTTTTTATGAGGCTAGTCTTGTCTGTGCACTTTAAGTGATATTGAAGACTTTGTTTCTTGATGTGTTTATCATTAGCTTGACTGGTGAAGTATTGGTAAAGACTTATGGACAGGTAGCATCAGGTCTGATCGAGTGATGTCATGTAGGTTTGTACTGTTGCATAGTCAGAGTGATTTCTTGCAGTATTGTGATATCATATAGTCAGAGTGATGTCATTCAGTACTGTGATGTTACATAGAGAGATGTCATGCAATATTGTGATGTCACACAGAGTGATGTCATGCAATATTGTGATGTCACACAGAGTGATGTCACGCAAAGTGGCATTCCTTAGTTGTGTCAGGTTCTGTTTGTCAGAGTTCAGAATATAATAGTCACAGAATCTTCCTTGTATCTTCAGAATGAACTCCCTTCAGAGAGTTGTACATGATGAAAGGCTGTCAGATCACTCACTCACTCACTCACTCATCACTCACTCACTCACTCACTCACCTCCACCCACCCACTCACTCACTCCCCATCCACTCACTCATTCTTAGGCCAAATAGACAGGTGTTAGTTTTGTAGTTCGAATCTCTGCATCAGAAGGTCTTCTTATCCTGTTATGAGACTATGTACAGCCACTGTAAATACAGCCAATGTAATCACGGCAAAAACTATTGCCTTCTGTTGATTGGGGACCACCATCTCAGGATATAACGAATTCCAATATAACGTAAAGTTGGCTTTAACGAATTCAGTGCTATCCCAGAGCTGTTGTAATTAATGTCATTGTTCGTGTGAATAGCAAATTTCGGATGCGTTGATTTCAGGGATCCCATTGAGTACAGCCAGTGTTCCCATTCAAAAGTGTAGTGCTTGATTAATCCAGTTTTTAATAATAAAATTGCATGCATTTCGGGATGATGAGTTTCCAGGGATATTCCCATGGCAGTGTTATATAGGATAGCTTTGGACTCCTAGAACACTCATAAATTCCCGACTTAAATTGCGTTGGGACCCATGGATACTCAAACAGAGTAGAACACCATAAAAAAACATGCAGTTTGGGTGTGAGTATGAGGTATTCGAGAGGTTAAAGTGTTTGCTTGCAATAAATGTCACACCCCACACCCCACAATCCACAATCCACACCCCACAATCCATAATCCATAATCCACACCACACAACAATCCACACCCACACCACAATCACATCCACACCCCCTACAATCCACACCCCACAACCCTCACACCCCACACCCCAATCACCCCACAATCCACACCCCACACCCCACAATCCAAACCCCATACCGAATAACACACACCAAACAACACACAACACACAACTCAACACACATAAATGCACACCATAATAACATTCCTGTATTCTCGACGGCAACATTAAACCCAATCTTCCTTCACCTGACTGATTCTCTTTAACATTTTTCAAACCAGACTGAAAGATAATGTACACCCAAGAATAGACAAATACATTACCATCTAGCACTAGATATGAATGTTGTGCAAGTTTTAAGATTAGCTCTAAAACAGGAATATATTTAATAGATTCAACCTTAGGTACAATTGCAACAACATTGCTCATGCTAGAGTTGGATGTATAAGGCTGAATATTGATCCAGGGAGACATCATAAATCACAAAATCTGGAAGGGAATTTACATATTATAACTTAAACAAAATCGAAGATCTGTACTATTTCACCCTTAAATGTCCGTCCCTAACGACCATTCGAAAGCAATACATATCAATTAAATACTTAATTCGACCTTGGTACAACAATTTATTCACTTGTGGCAACCACTAAGTATCAAGATATAAAATCTCTTCTGTTATACTTCTAATATGCCTTCAAAAGCAGAAACAGATTGAAATGAAATGGGAATCTGTTGTTGAAATGACCCTGCACTTCATACAATTTGAATTTGAATTTGAATTTGAATTTGAATGAGTAAAACATCATTGTCTAAATGACTCCCTCACCAGTCACTGATTGAGTAGCCAAGGGGTTAAAATATGCACAAAAACATGTAAAATATTTCAACTTTTAAAGTGCCGAACCGAAGACATATTCTGTTCTGGAACTGTCCTGGGATAGGCTAATGTAACAATCATGTAAGTTTCTCCAGTGTAAGACCCCAATTAAATGCAGGTTTCAGAAATGTTAAACAAGTTAACGAGACACCTCTGCATATGCAAATTATGTTATGTTAAAGTCAATTGAGTGTAATATGCATGACGATCGCCTCTCTGCTGCAATTCTACAAGAATCAGTCTCCCACTGGGAGGCTTCATCCCATGTTTCCGATCTCATTTATGGATTTAGCTACTCATTGAGCCTAAATCTGAAAATAATACCAAAATCCATTTTCTGTTCACTGCATTCAAGATACCTCTAGATATTAAGAAATTAAAAAAAACTTTTATGGAACAAGTAAAATTGATTACTGCAATGGGGTAATGAGATGCAGTGCCTATACCGTAGATATTGTTTGCTATTGATTTGTTGCGTACAAACGTGTGTCGTGGATTTGGAGTGAATGAGTTTGGTGTTTGGTGCTTTGTTTTGGAAATATTAAGATTTGTGAGTTTCAGGCTGAAGGAAGTCAAAAACTTTGGTGTAATCCAGGATATGATCCGTCAGACAATAGTTGATCCTTGGATCCTGGCGTAGGTGGAGGAGACAACTCTGCTCATTTTAGTGTTTTGGACCACCTTCTGACACAGAAGAATAACTTTTTTTGGGGAAATTCATTTGTACCTCTTATATCTGATGAGATCAAACTCTATGATGCCAATTACTCATAATGGTGCCACACTTGACATTATGATATCATACTCTACATAATCCATGTATGACATCATAATGAACATAATCCATGTATGATATCATACTACACATAATCCTTGTAGGTTATCATACTATGTGACCCCCCTAAAATATATGTACAAAGTAAGTGACCCCCCCTGACATGTACAAAATCAATATATAAAAAACCTATATTTTTTAGGATAAATTTTAAATATTTATATATTTCTATGTACAAAATTGCTGACACCCTCCCCCAGTACGTGTGTATAAAAATTGATGACCCTCCAAAACAAAATGGGTGACCCCTTAAAATGATCATTACACCCCCCCCAACCCCCTAGCCATACATAATGAACAGCCTCTTACGCAATCACAACAGGCCAATTAGATAGCTGGATTCAGTATCAGGTACTAATAACCTCCATGTTCTTACTTCCTACCAAGACTAGTACACCGATTTATAAAGGAACACACACGTAACCATTACCAGTATGTCGTGTGTCTGTATTGGAAACGTGCAGAATGCCACTAAATTTCATGACTTGGGTCGTCACAAGTGTGCTCCCCTTAAACCAAATCCTGGATCCATATTAGCAAGAGTGGCTTAATTTCAACAAAATCCTTTTGCTATACTGTTCATTATGTTTGGAAAGCCAACCTGATTAGGAGAACCTTGAGATGTAAATCACACAGTCACTGACTCCAAGACAGAGGGCGGGACTACCCTGTTGAGGCCTAGGTCTTGTATAAGCCAAGATAAGGGTGTAATTGAATTGCACATTGGTCATTTGACCTTGTAATGCAGTACATATGTTAGGGCGGAGACTAGAGCGGTCGTCTATGTCTTGGCTTGTCTGGTCAGCTGCGACAGCTGGAAGGCCAACTGAATTGATGTCCGAATTGTATCGATTGTTTCACGGGTACTTAGTTGATGGATTGTTAGGATATAAGTCTGAACATGTCTGATATTGATGGATGAAGCATTGATTTCAGAGAAATTGGTACAGAATCCAAATTGATGAAGAGATTTCGCTGGTCTGTAATGGTTTCTTTCTTTATGTTTATTGGTCTTTGTGTTGTTTATTTGTTTCCACCTAAGAACAAGGACTATACAACATTATTCAAAGTATGCATTAAATAATTTTGTTTATTGCTGCCTTGAACAGGACTAGAGTTATGGTGCAGAATGTCCACTCGATGGGGTCTGAAAGCCCTGAGGACAGGTTAAGTGATTAGAATTTGTCTTTTTTAACCCATGCTTGTCGTAATAGGCAACTAAGGGGATCGGATGGTCAGGCTGGCTGACTTGGTTGACTCATGTCATCATATAGCAATTGATAGATACATGCTCTTGCTATTGATCACTGGATTGTCTTGTTGAAACTTGATTATTTATAATTCCGAAGTACAGTGTTTAACAGCAAATAAACAAACAAACAACGTTCTGAGTGGCAAAAGTCAAAGTGTGGAACCAACAAAATTATAATGATACTGACAAATAATGGAACTGTGGACTAAAAGTAAGTTTGCGACTGAACCTGTGGTCAGGACATCCCGGCTTGTCAGAGCGGCCCAGCTCTACACCACTGTGCCACACATCCCTCTTTAGCTCTATAGATTCAGCTCCTGACCATGAGATTCCAGCTTGACAGAACAAACAATTGTCTTTCCACTATGGCATCTATTTCTTGTACTATTGATTCAAACACTCAACCAGAAAATCCTGGCATGGCTTAACAACCCAACTCTTATTCCACTGTGCCATCTATATCACCCTAAGTAATATAGGTTCAAACCCATGACCAAGAAATCCCTTTTAACTTTTTGTACCTCTCTGCTACCCATGATAGCACTATGGATTTTAACCCATAAGCAAACTCATAACCAGGAGCTTCTGTCTTGGCAAAGAAAATCAACTGTTCCACTGTACCAACCATGTCAGCCTTAATATTTGGGATTCAAACTC